GAATTTAGGAAACCCTGACTCATTGCCGAACGCCACGTGTCCGTCATCACCAAAGTTACCTCGGATCGGGAACTTGGGTACGGTCAGGGAAGGTCATCTATGAGCACCCCCGCTCGCCCGATTCGAAGATCGGCCTGTACTAAGCATGATATAGAGTTTTTGAAAACACGTGCGTTCTTATTCCGGTTATTAGCTAGAATTACTATGTGATGCGCACAACATATAAGTATAGACTAGATCGTCTAACTTGGAACAAAGCATCGCATATCTGTTTGTTTGGAAATGGTTTTGAATTTTGCTACTCGCAAGTAGGCTAAAATACGGATTTTGATGAATTATCCCAATTCAAGCAACCCAACCTTCACCCACAGGCATTCAAGCAATTATATCATATAAGCAATTAGCCTCATGGTAAGCATGTTGTCATGTTAACACTTACACACGTGCAAGATGCTAAAGGATAAACACTCACAGTGTACTCCGAGCCAAAACAAGGAACATGTTAGTAATCAAATGTATGATCCAAGTCCATGTTAAGATGGCTAATGCATCGCAGGCAAAATGCAACTAGAATAGGCTCGGCTAATCTAAAGTGACATATGAGATGCGACAATTCGACACATGTATTCAACTTGGAATTTAAATACAATGCAGTTAGTGTGATGCGCCGAGCCTGGTGCATGCAATACAAATGAATGGGACAAGCTCTTGTTATGAACCAAACTCAATCCAAAGGCACTCTCAAGTTTGCAACAAAGACTCTACGGTTAAGGTTTAAGGATGTTTATGGTGTATAGATATGATTCAAGGGTGATAGGTTTGCTCAAAGATGACTTGCTAAGGAAGAAGGAGCTCTCAAGTGTGTGTTTAAGCACTTTGGCAAATTTTCCACCCTCAAAATAGAGACAAGAGCTCATATTTATAGAATTTGAGGAAAAAATGTCAAAAATATCTTCAAAAATAGATAACTGCTGGGCTCCCGCCCAGAACAGTGTTCATCGCCTAAAAGGCACGGCTGTCCCCAAATGGCCATGGCCGGCTCCTAATGAGGCATGGCCGAGCCCCAATACACTCCCCTGTCCCTCTATTTCAGGCTCAGTACAGGCTGACACAATGTTCAAAAATGAACCTCTGAGTAAGAATAGTGTAAATAGAAAAGTTTTGGGATTGTTTCCAGGCTTGAACTTAGATTCATTCGTTGAGAATTCAAACCACACACAATGCAACTTTCATCATCGAGTGCTCAGGACAAAGTGCTCAAGTCTTGCGGACGGTCAAAAATGGGGTGTCTACACCTTCGACTAATTCAGCACCTTTGGAGCTAGAGGGACCAGCCCTATTATCCCTCTCATTCGCTAAGCTTGTTGCCACAACTGTATCTACCGTCATTTGAAACTCGAAGGACTGCTTAAACTGTTCAACAATAGCTGCGTAGAAGTCAGGGTAGGCAACAAGCTCAGAAGCTAGGGACGTTGTAAGCTCTGCATTCTTAGCCCTCTCAGCCTCCAAGGTAGGCCTCTCAGCAGCCAGACTCTTTATCAAATCAACAATTTGCATGTCTTTTTCTTCCTTCTCCTTCAGAGATAGATCATGCAATTCCTCATTGTTGCTCAGCGCTTCTTCCAGTTGCTCTCTGACCATAGTACAAGCCTGCTAGACTTCAACCATTTTCTTTTGTTCAATAACTGCTTCAAACGCTAAGGCCATTATTCTATGGCAAGCAACTGCTAAGTCAGCTGCAGACTGACCTAGCTGAGTCTTGACATCGGCTAACTTTTTCTTAGTCAACTCGAACGGGGCAAGTTCTCCTCTCACCTGCTCCAACTTTGCAGTCGTCGTAGCTTGCTCAATTATTGTGCGATCGGCTACATGACTATACACAATGGCCGGGACTTTTTTTTTTTTTTTTTTTTTTTTTTTAGCATGCAGGATTCCTTTGGCGCAAGTATTTTGTGCCAGTTTACGCCAGCGTTTGATTTCCGACTTTGCCATCTGCAGCTAGGGCTGTGCAAAATACTGCTTAATCCGCTAAAACCACATCGATCCGCATCAATCCGCACCGTTCTAACCGCTAACCGCGGTTTAAACTTTAAAATTTATAATCCGCCAACTAAACCGCTCCACTCTGCTCCGCTCCGCTATAGTTAATACATATATATTTTTTAACCTCCAATGAAATTTCAATATAAAAATGAGTGTGAGAGAGATTTAAAATACAAATTTATTACAAATTAGTAGTTATATATATGAAACATATTATGTAAAATTACTTTGTGTTATATATCTAAAAAATATTATACAAATTAGTGTTACATATTATACAAATGTATAATAATTGGTTACAATATTCTTCAATCTGCCAATCTGCCAAAAATCGCCTAAACTGCAATTTGCCAATCCGCCAACCCACCATTCGGTTTGTAATTTTACCCTTAAATCGCCCGAACCGCACGCCGCACACCCCTATCTGCAGCTTAGACCTAGCTTGCTTTGCTTGGGCTCTGGTCTACACCAGATCCAGCCCTGCCATCAATCTTTTTCCCAAACAGAGCGGCTGCTAGAGTCAGTGACTCCATGTGCACAGAGCCGAATGCTCTCATCAGCTCCACCTCCCCAAATCGAGACACATCCCTAACGGTTGCATCGTCGATCGCCCCCAGTATTCTGTCATAGGCGGCCTTCACATTGCCCAGTACGTTAGAAGGCTTGCCAGGGTTAGTTAGGGGCACACCGATCACTGCGCTCAAGTGCCGAACAGTGGTGCTCACCATCTCAACTAGGCGCTCAGTCTCTGCCCTTTGCTCAACCCTGGTTACTTCTTCCTTTGTAGTATTTGCTTTTTCTAACTACGAGGGCTTAGACACTTGGTTAAACTCTTTTTCTTCAAATTGGCCTAAATCAACTAGTTTAGCAACAGGGGGGGTCAGCCTCAGCCCTCTCCGCTTCTGCTTCAAGCCTCAAAGCCTCAACCTCCTACCTCTGCTCTGCCACCCTAACTGGTTCAAAAACCACCTCTCTTGCCCTTTTGGATTTTTCCCTTCTTCCCTATGTTTTGGAGTAGCCCTTTTCTTCTTTAGCCTCTCCAAGTTAGCTTTATTTTTCTGCTTAATGGGATCAACTAAGGGCTCAAAAGGGATTAAATTCTTCAAGTCCTACATGGCCAAGGCGTTTAGACGGAGGCAAGCAACCCTATGGGCATATCATTTTGGGGCAGGGCTCAATTGCTTCTCTTTCAATATGTCAGCCGTGACAAATGCTCTGATCTTCAACTTCTTGAGCCTTCCTCCTTGCCTCTACTTCTTCAAGAGTAGGGTCTTCATCGACAGACTCATAATCCAACCCAAGGGCAAATAAGGCAGAGGGTCTTACCAGGTCAACCCAGTTCAGCCCTTTCTTGTCCTTGAACTTCTTGACCATCTGCACTCTCTTCTCTTTTGCAGCGGTCAAGGTTGGCTTTATCGACTTGGTAGGAATCTTCCAGGTTGTTCGAACTCCCCTACCACCATTTACAAATAAGTAAAACCACTTGGTTCTCTGTCTCTTTACTGAGGAGGACAGCCCAGTTACCAGTTTCCTGCCAAAAAAATGTTTGCGGGGCTACCCAAGTCTCTTGCTGGCCAGATGCCTTGTAATAGGAGAATAACTTATTTATTGTCATGTTCTCCCCTTCAGTTGCCCGCGGCCACAAAATTTTCCTCGCGAACAAGATTTTTCAAGCGTTCGACACTAACTGGCCTAGTGCCGCCTCTAGCCAGTTCAAGACATCGATGGCGAGTTGGGGGAGTAGCAACCTCAGACCCCATGTAATGCCTTCTCATATAAGGAGAACTCCATTGGCCTAGCGTCAGAAGTTCTTTCCTCCGTTGTAGGGAACCTCAACTCTATATCTTCAAGAATTTGGTACTTTGTTCGAATCTCCTTTAGATCCAAGGCCGTCAACATTGATTTATTTGCTTCATATGCTAGTGGTCAGGGGCTACCTAGCTGATGGGTTGAGCGGCCAAAATCATTATCGAATTGATTAGGCGAGATGACCTCTTTGCTATCCCTTCTACCATTTTCTTCACCTTGTACTTTTCTGCTAGGGCTACTCTGTTGTTATCACCCAGTGGGTCGATAACTAGGGAATGAGGATTCTCTCGTTCCATCTGTCTCACATTTCAGTATATGGTTTCGGATGCAAGAGCTAAGAAATCGAAAATATGGTAGAGATGGGATTCATGGGAGACAAAGAAAGAGAAGTTTGGAATAATTTGGTTCTTTGAGATTAAGTGTGTAAATCGCACAAGTAAGAAGGCCCAGGGTTTGCCAGTATTCCACGGATCTCAGTCAAAGTTTGCCAGTTTGAAAAATTGCTAAGCGTGGAAGGAAAGAGGAAAGTCAGTTGGTTAATGGCCAAACTCTTCAAATTCACGCGCTCAGAAAACCCTCAACATTCAAAACAGTTCAACTCTACATCAGTGGGCTAGATTCTTCCACATGGACGGGCTAGATTAGTCCTCTTAACCACTGTTCATCTTTTTTTGCCTCACGTCTAATCCATTATTGAATATGGGCCCACGAATCAAGTCATCATGTAGATCACCATTCCTCGAGTCCTGCGCATAACAGAAGCACTCAAGTGCTTAGCGATCAGACTACATTTTAAAGGGCGACCGGCCAGATCCGCCGGTCAACTAGATCCATCGGTCAGCCAGATTCAGATTTATCAATGGTCGGCTAATTTTAGTAGTCAGTCATATTTAGCGGTCAACCATTTTCAGCTATCTACCGTACTTCAATGACCTACCCGTTCAGCCTTCATTCACAGTCGGCCCTCGCGGTCAATTTCTTCGCTCTCTTGCCATAAAGCAGTTGGTCGATCGCTTCTTCATGACTTAGGGGACTACTATTACTGTTCTCATTCCCTTCGTTGGACTAAAGATGTACTCGAGAATGGGGGACTACTGATGGGTACAGCCTAGGAGGGCCCAACCCGTAATCTGCATGGGCTACCCAGATAACCATTTGATTAATTATCATCATAAGGCCCAATAGTGGCCTCAATTAGAGAACCCATGGCAGTCAAACCCAACTACCAGCTGGGTACATGTCAAGCAGGGAATTGGCCACATGGAATATAAAAACCTTACACGCCATTGGGCCCCACGTGCCAAGCATTAAATGAGACTGTCAAGCATTAAATGTAATAAGGCCGTCTCCCCTTGAGGCGTGGTGAAACCGCCATGGCCGGTGACAAGTAGGTCATAGACTTTTGACCAATAGGACAACGTAAATGGACAAGGGAATGATTGGTAAGAGATATAGGGAAGCTGAAGGACATTTGGTAAAAAAATCACCCACACACTCTCTCACTTTGCTCTCAATTCTTTCTAAGTCTCTTCTTCCTCTCCATGTACTTAACTAACTTGATCGTCGGAGGGTCCTCAGGAGGGAACCACTCGTACTTTGGAACCTTCCTGTTGGACTTATTGCAGGTGTTGTTGGGAAGACGAAGGTCAGTCGACTCGTGGAGCATCTGGATCCTGTCCAACCCATCTTCTACTGACCAAAATGCATCATCACATGATAAGTTTGTCATGCATAACTTTTAATACAAATTAACATAACACAAATCACAAATGTTGAAAACTTTCCCCATAAAAGTAGTAAATTTTTTTAAATGTGCCTTTTTAAGTAAAAATGATTTAGTAGGTGTTCATATGCTCGACCAATGATAAGTTATAATTTATTCACTAAAAACGGCATCGTTTCGTTTAAGGGAATATGCGGCGTTTATAAAAACGCCGTTAAATATTAATAACAGTGACGTTTAAAAAAACGTCGTTAAAAAAGCGCCACCAAATCTTCTTTTTCCTGTAGTGTAATTAGGATCCTGTCCAAGCCATCTTCTTAAGTTTTGCAGTTCTTTTGAAGATTCTCAGCTTCAATGGAGTTCAATTTCCTCCCCATCTTCACATTTCTTTCAGTTAAGTGCTTAAATTTCCAAATTCATATTTCTTTCAATTAAGTGCTTAAATTTCCAAATTCCTCAAATCAAAGAAACCATTTTCTCCAACTTTTGTATTTGTTTCTTAAACATTGATGATGGAATCATAGAAGAAAAATAATATATAACTCACGTTTTAGACTCAATGATATATAAAACATTCATTATGTTTGAAAAACGAGTTTAATTTTAGGCCTCAATAACATTACTCATCATGAAATATACGACGGATATATACTTTTTGTCATCTAACTGACCAATTTTTAAAATCATACGTATGTTATGAAATATTATACGATAAATTTGACCTATCTAGTGAGTGTGCTTTCACCTTATAGCTAAAGTAAAGTTTAGTTAGGATGAAAATGGTAGAAAGTATAGCAATGGTAGAAAGTGAGGAAAATATAAAAAAAAATAAAAATAAAAAAGAAAAGAAAAAAAAATATATATATATTTTTTCCTAAATTTGTTTGGCATTAAAGTGGTGAAAGTTTAAAAAAAATAAATAAATAATTTAATTTTCATGCACAACTCATAATAGTATGATAACTAAACTTCTTGTTTTTTTGCAAAAAAATATAGGAAAATATTAAAAAAAAATTAATTTATTATGAAAGCAGTTACTTATAATTACATTTCTTATTTTCTTTCAAAATTTTCGTCATAATCAAATTCATATAAAAAAAGAGTATTTTCTTTTCCTTTTCTTTCACTTCACTTCACTTCACTTCACTTCATTTTTTTTTTCTCCTTTCACTTCACTTTATATTATTTTCACTCATTTATTTATTTTTCTAATCAAATGGAACCTAAAAAGAACATGTAATTAATTTGTCTAAAACATAAGAGAGTTAAAAAAAATTCTACATCACCCCCATACAATTGTAAAGACACATCACATAAACATATATATTGAACCGACTAGATAATTTATTATTACAAGAAGTTTGCAATGGATTTTTTTTATTGAACCGACTAGATAATTTATTATTACAAGAAGTTTGCAATGGATTTTTTTTATTGAACCGACTAGATAATTTATTATTACAAGAAGTTTGCAATGGATTTTTTTTATTGAACCGACTAGATAATTTATTATTACAAGAAGTTTGCAATGGATTTTTTTTATTGAACCGACTAGATAATTTATTATTACAAGAAGTTTGCAATGGATTTTTTTTATTGAACCGACTAGATAATTTATTATTACAAGAAGTTTGCAATGGATTTTTTTTATTGAACCGACTAGATAATTTATTATTACAAGAAGTTTGCAATGGATTTTTTTTATTGAACCGACTAGATAATTTATTATTACAAGAAGTTTGCAATGGATTTTTTTTATTGAACCGACTAGATAATTTATTATTACAAGAAGTTTGCAATGGATTTTTTTTATTGAACCGACTAGATAATTTATTATTACAAGAAGTTTGCAATGGATTTTTTTTATTGAACCGACTAGATAATTTATTATTACAAGAAGTTTGCAATGGATTTTTTTTATTGAACCGACTAGATAATTTATTATTACAAGAAGTTTGCAATGGATTTTTTTTATTGAACCGACTAGATAATTTATTATTACAAGAAGTTTGCAATGGATTTTTTTTATTGAACCGACTAGATAATTTATTATTACAAGAAGTTTGCAATGGATTTTTTTTATTGAACCGACTAGATAATTTATTATTACAAGAAGTTTGCAATGGATTTTTTTTATTGAACCGACTAGATAATTTATTATTACAAGAAGTTTGCAATGGATTTTTTTTATTGAACCGACTAGATAATTTATTATTACAAGAAGTTTGCAATGGATTTTTTTTATTGAACCGACTAGATAATTTATTATTAGAAGAAGTTTGCGATAGATTTTTTTTTTCCTTCACTATTTTGGTAATAAAAATTTCCTTTTTTTTTTTTTTTTTTCAGTTGACACTGGTGGCAGGGCATGCAGCAGTATCTCCCGAAGCTTACTGGAACATGGTTTTGCAAAACACTCCCATGCCTAGGACTCTAAAATTAACTTTTATAAAATATATAACTTTCTTATTCATTTTTTTTTATTAGCAAAAATCAGTTGTTAGTTGTTAAATTAGTACCTATGGGAGTTAGCCTCTACATCCTTGCTTGCCACTTAATTCAATTCCCTGTAGGGAGAGTTGAACTCACGACTTCCCCTTTAGGCCCCGTTTGTTTGCACTATAGGAAATGCCACTTGTGATTGGTAGTGAGGTGGGACCCACTAATATTGTGTTTGTTTTGAGAGATGGGAAGGGGATTGACCCCGTTTGTTTGGAGAGTTAGAGGGGGGGATTGTGATTGGTAGTGAGGTGGGACCCACTAATATTGTGTTTGTTTTGAGAGATGGGAAGGGGATTGATAGTGAGCTCCGTATTAGGATGGACCTCCCTAAGGGGATTCGGATGGGCTTCCAGGACTTAGTATTAGAAAAATAGTCCGGTGGAGTAGAAATTTTTTATTTTTATTTATTTTTTATTTTATTTTTTACATGTCGGCCATTTTTTTTTAATATTAATATTTAATTTTTTGTATTTTTTGTTAAGTAAAAATCATAATTTTATTTGTTTTTTTTTTTGGAAATTTTTTATTTTATTTTTATTTTTTAATTTTGTTTTACATGTTGGGCATTTTTTTTTAAAACATTAATGTTTAAAGTTTTTGTATTTTTTTTATTTGTTTTATTATTTTATATTTATTTTATATAAAAATAATTTAACAATCCCTACACTAACAACTATCATCAAAACAAACACAATTTTACTTAATCTCCTCACTAACAATCCCTTCACTATTAATCCCCTCACTATCAATCTCATCCATTCTACCTCTGAAAACAAACCGGGCCTTAGAACTAAGTCCTTAGAAGTGTCATAGTGGCCAAGTAAATTAGGCCTAGTTGGTTAAGGGTAAAATTCATTGTGGTATAACTCGATAGCACTTTACTTTCTTGTCTTTTAAAAATAGAAGCATATCTCCCATGTAACTTACTTAGAATGCTATAGTTTCAATTTTCATGTATACTAATGAAGATGGTGTCTCACATGCCTATTTTGAAAGTGAGGAAGAAAAAAAAAATAGTTAAAATTAAATTTTAATGTGAAAGGACAAAACTAGTCATATTTACATTTTTATCTGAATTCCTTACTTAATAACATTTTAAATTAAACACACATTATATATATAAAAAAATTAAATTAACCTAAATACCTTAATTTATTATTATAAATTAAGCATCAAACTATGTTAATCTAACTTTTAATTTTTAACCCAATTCTTTATTAATAGCATTTTAAAATAAACATAAACATATATATATATATATATATTTATAATTAACTCATAAATTAAACTAAATACCCTAATTTATTATCATAAAATTATATTTTTTAATAACATTTTAAATTAAACATATACACACACACACATATATATATATATAACAAATTAAATCCTAAAAGTACCTTAATTTAATTTTTAATTTTTATCCCAATTGATTATTTAATAAAATTTTAAATTAAACATGTATATATATATAACAAATTAAATTATACATTAATTACAGTGTCTATATATATATATATATATATAAGTGTTATATACATGTATATCATAATATATATTAAAATTAAAATTTAAGTTTGTTGAAAAAATATTTGAAAAACTCTAGTTTCTTAAATGATTTTTGTAGAGTATTTTTTATTTTTTTCTTAGTCATGGAGATAAATTTATTTATTTACCTACAAAAAGGAGCAAAAGTAGAAGAAGATAAAGAAGGGTATAATTATCCTTTTATGGTTAACATTAGGCCTGTTTGTTTTGGGGTTAAATAGATGAGAGAGGATTAGAATGGAGGTGAGATTATTTAGTGTTATGTTTGTTTGTAGAGTTTGGGAGGGGATTAGGGTGGAGGAGGGGATATAGATGGAGGTTGAAAGGGGGATTGAGATGGAGGGGGTGGAGATGGTATTAGAAAAATAGTGAGGAGATTAGAAATTTTTTTATTTTATTTTTATTTTTTATGTATTGGAATTTTTAAAAAAAAATATTAATGTTTAATTTTTTATATTTTTTTATTTGTTTTATTATTTTATATAAAAATAATTTAACAATTGCTACAGTAACAACTATCATCAAAATAAACAAAATTTTACTTAATCCCCTCACTATCAATCCCCTCCATTCTACCTTTTGAAAACAAACAGGGTCTAATGGAGTTAATGTTGCATTTTAGTCTAACACTACAAAAAAAAAAAAAAAAATTAAGATTTTAGAGACCAAAATTTAGGAATCAAATTATTTTTTAGGGATCAAATTTTTTTTTTTTGCGAAAAATGTTATTATATTTTTAGCAATGAAAATGAGACATTAGTGATGAATTATTATCATTTTGGTATCAAATTCTTTGTCTCAAAAAATAAACCATTTTGAGACCAAAAGTCTATTTATTAGTGACATTTTCAAAATTTAATTGTTAAAACCTTGTTTTTTACTTTTCGGAGCGACCTTTTAGCGATTATCTTCACAACGATAAAAATTGATCCGTAAATATTTTTGTAACAAAATTTTTATTTTTAGAAATTAAAAAATTTGATTTCAAATTTTTTTATATATTGTAACGTAAAATCACATGGGGATATACAATTATTTTTAAAAACATGTGATAAAGTACTATTGAGTCATATAACATAGAAGTAAAACAGGTTTTGTCCTAACTTTAAAGATGCACACATCATAATTTTTCTCACAAAAATCGAAATTTTTATCACAAAAATTTGTAATTTTTACTATAAAAACCGTTTTTTTTTTTTGACTATGTGCAGAAGGCAATGTTGTTGCTGGCCAAGGACGCGACTATCCAATAAGGCCGCCTTGGGATCTGTACTATGACAGTAGCTATACTGGTAATGGGTATGAACAACCAGCACACTACGGCTCAACTTTTTTTTTGGAAGAGGACATCAAACAAGGCACAAAGATGAAATTAAACTTCACGATAACACAAACAAATGGAGTTACTTTCTTACCCAGACAAGTTGCTCAGATGATTCCTTTTTCCTCAAACAAATTTCTCGAAATTCTGAACCGGTTTTTGATAAAACCCAATTCAGTTGAAGCTGAGATTATCAAGGAAACAATCAAACGCTGTGAGAGATCTAGCTTTCAAGGAGAGCAGAAATATTGTGCAACTTCATTAGAGTCCATGATCGATTTCTGCACTTCCATGTTCGGAAAAAATATCCAGGCATTCTCTACTGAGTTAGAAAAATCGCAGGAGTATCGTATATCAGGATTCAAAAAGATTGGAAGAGGAGGACGAGATGGCCCAGTAGTGTGTCATAAGCTAAATTACCCGTATGCGGTCTTTTATTGCCACAATATTCGCTCCACCGAGACATATATGCTTTCGTTGGAAGGTGCAGATGGGGCTAAAGCAAAAGGTGCAGTGGTGTGTCATAAAAATACGTCGGCATGGAATCCCAAGCACTTGGCCTTTCAAATTCTCAAGGTTAAACCAGGAACTGTTCCTATTTGCCATGCTCTTCGTCAAGATAATATTGTTTGGCTTCCTAACTAAGGCCAAGTTTGGGTAGTTTAAAAAAAGTCAAAAAGTCAAAAAGTTACTCAAAAAGTTAAAAAGTCATCACTATTCGCCAAAGTCAACAATTACGGCTGCACAATTCCTAATTCTAATTTTCTCCTACAAACTAATTTTTACAATTTTTTATTACACATTTTTCCATAAAAAGTCAAAAAGTTAACCCAAACATTCATATTTTCAACCTCAACTTTTTAGTCTAAAAAGACAAAAAGTGCACTTATTTAGTCTTCCCAAACTTGGCCTGAATTTGCCAAATAGGTACGAGCATTATTATAATAATGTAAAAATCACACGAAAGAAATTTAAAATAATTCACTTTCATTAGAAGTGTGACTAAAAAAATTAAAATAATATTTTAATCCAATCAATTTAAGTAAATGTGATAGTATTTATTTTTAATCACTTTTATTAGAAGTGTGACTATATTTTTTTTCTAGTCGTAGTTGCTAAGGCCTGGTTTGGGGTGTTGCAAAATTTACAAAAAAAAAAAAACAAAAAAGTTATCACTATTCACAAATTAAAAATATTAAAAATTTAATATATATAATATTTTAATCAAACAAAATTTACACAATTTTCGGGGTTGAATTGACCCTTTATTACCGTGAGGAAAAAAAAAAAGAATTACATATATAAAATCACTAAGTTTGATGGAAATGTTGGGCTCGTGGGGCCCACCACAGGTCCTGTTTTGATAATCCGAACCGTTCAATATGTAAAACTTGTCCAAACCTATATGCTTGTAAAAAATCACGTTGATCGAAAATCGGTAACTACACGATCAAATCAGTTTTGTATAAAAAATGGATGGTATCATAGTTAACAGTTGATAAGAAAAACTAACACGATCAGATGGCTATTGATATCCAATCAACGTGATTTTTTAAAAGTATATAGTACTTGACGAGTTCTACATATTGAACGGTTCCAATTAGCAAAATGAGACCTGTGGTGGGCCTCCATAGGCCGAACAACACCATCTAATTTATGCCCGAAAAGGAGAGAATCAATCTCCTACCCTATCCTCTGCTGCGCTGCCCCTTACGCTTCCAACTGTACGGCATATTCCATCACTAACTTCTCCTATACACTTATTTATATAATTTTTTAATACACATTTTTCCATAAAAAATCAAAAAGTTAACCCAAACATTCATATTTTCAACCTCAACTTTTTAGTCTAAAAAGACAAAAAGTACACTTATTTAGTCTTCCCAAACTTGGCCTTAGTATTTTTGACTCGTGCCTATTAATTTTGGAAAAAAAATTGGGAGCTCTAATGGTGGATCTTTAGATATCTCTAATGATTTTTGGGTTACACAATAATGTGATGTTTGTGCCTTGTGTTTTTTTTTTTTTCTTTCAACAATGATACATCTTCTAAAACTAGAGCTCTAATTGAGTTCTAGTGAGGTGAAAAATCAAAAAAATAAAAATAAAAATACAAGAGTAAAACATTACATTAAGCTCTACATACACATTAGAGTCATTAGAACTTACAAATTAAAACATCAAAATATTTTTGTTTTGTTTTATTTTATTTTGTTTTGTTTTTCCTATTGTCAAATCATTAGAACTCTGTTTAGAATTTTAAAATTAAAAGACATGTCATTTTTGTTAATTTTGAGCACACCGACTTCTTGCTAACTATACTCTTGGTTGGTTTGGGAATAGACTATTGTTCAACCTAGCTTGTAGATTGTCGATATTTGCAAGCATATCTAGATTCCTTTTGTCCGACTTCCTGGCTAGGAGGTACTTCTATGATGTCACAGAACTTTGCATCTTCTCGTTCCTATGTTCAATTTGATTTAGAAAAAATTATTGAAAAATCTACTAACCATTGTTTAAGACCATCTCCAACGGTTCACCAAAACTGATATCAAATTCAAATTTTGATGAAAAAGCTGCTGTTCACTGCTCCAACGGTTGCACCAAATGAATATCAGATTGAGATTTCATCAAAAAATTTATCAAACTGACGACGAAATACTGAT